GATACGTCCTCGTCTCGTCAATGTTGTGATGCAGCTTCCAAGGCGGTGCGGAATGAAGTTCTATCTCGAGCGGCGAAGCTTGGAGAGCAAGGTGATTATAGGTCGTTGCTGCCGGTAGTGACTCCGTTGTGCACACACATGAACTGCTCTAGTAAAAGCATCTCGTCACGCAATCGTTTCACGCAGTATGGCGTTGGTCGGGTCGACGCTCAGCGCGTTCTGCGCGCGTGGGCTGCCACGTTGCGGAGATTTTATTTGTCTAAAAATAGCCAATGGCGTTGCAGCTGGTAAGGAACGTGTGATTAGCCAGCGGATTGCTTGCGTCCAGTTTCGCATTGCCCAAGATACCAGCAGCAGCATGGGCTCGATCATCTCGCGGCCCGTCGTGACGTCCGTGGGCGTCCTGTACCCTGCGTACGCAAGCTTCAAAGCGCTCGAGACGCCGGCGACGGACGATGACAAGCAGTGGCTCACGTACTGGGTCGTCTTCTCCATCACGTCGTCGGCCGAAGAAGTCGCGGAGCGCGTCGTCTCGTACCTTCCGGGCTACTATGTCCTCAAGTGCATCTTCCTCGTGTGGCTCATGCTGCCCAAGACGCGCGGTGCGATCATCGTCTACGACAAGTACCTCCAGCCGCTCCTCAAGCAGTACGAGCCGCTGCTCGATGCCAAGCTCGCCGCCTTCAAGACGTATGTCGACAACTGGATCGCCGACATGAAGGCCAACGGCGCTCGTACATCAAGCAAGGCCTGACGATCAGCATCGAGAAGGCCATGGAGGTCCAGGAGGCGGCTGCGAAGAGCCCGCTCAAGGCCAAAGTCGCCGACAAGATGGCCGAGATCAAGTCGAAAGGCTTGCAGATGACGTCGGACAGTGTCGCCAAGATCAAGGCGCAGGTCTCGCGCCGCAAGATGTCGTCGTCCATCGACGCTGACGTCGACGCCGAGCCGGAAGCCACCGAGTAGAAGTAGACAAGAGAAAACAGAATATCTATACCACATGTATGTTGTTGCACTGTTTTGCTGCTGCCAACACGCGCTTATGTCGAGATGTACGAGTACTTGTAGTCTTCCTTCGAGTTGGACTTGTCAATGTACGAGTGGGGCTTGAAGTGCTCGGCCTGGATGAGCTCCGCGAGCATCGGTGCCACGGACAGGCGCTTGACCTTGTCCGAGTGGAAGCGCTTCGGGTCCATCGGGATCGTGTCCATGACGACGACCTCGGCGACCGCCGACTTTTCAATGTCTTCCTCGGCGTTGCCCGTCATGAGCGGGTGCGACGCAAGGCAGAACGACCGCCGGGCGCCCTGCTCCTTGACGATCGCGGCGAGCTTGCACAGCGTGCCACTCGTGTCGACCATGTCGTCGACGACGATGACCTCGGCGCCCTTGACGTCGCCCACAAGCTGGATCTCGTCGGGCTTGTCGCCGTCGGCGCCGCCGCGAATGCAGCTGGCAAACGTGATCGGAATGTCCGGCAGCCACTTCTTGAGGCCGCGCTGGAAGACGCGCGCCTTCTTGACGCACTCGGGGTTGGGCGCCAAGACGACGATCGGGCCCTTAAAGAACACCTGCGTCGCAAAGTACTCGACGCCGGCCATGACCGTATCGAGCGTCTCGACCGGAATGTGCGCGTTGAAGAAGCTGGCTTCATGGCCCTGGCCGCGCAGCTGAAGGTCGACGGCGATGACGCGGTCGACGCCCATGACTTCAAGCATCTTGGCAATGTCCTGGGCCGGGCTGTGCACGAACTTGGAGTTCAAGCTTGTCGCGCTCGGGCTGCCGCGGCGATGGTGCTTGTAGGCGTAGTACGGAATGACGGCGGTCACCTTCTTGGCGCTCGCGCGACGCATCGTGCTCACCATGAGCAAGAGCTCAATCACATTGTCGTTGACGGGCTGCGCAAGCGACTGCACCAAGTAGACGTCCTTGCCGCGCACCGACTCTTCAATCTGGCACTGCACTTCGCCGTCGGCAAAGCGGCCAAGCTTGAGGCGCGCGACGCGCGTGCCAAGGCGGCGCGCAATGTCATCCGCGAGCTCAAAGTTGGACGAGCCCGAGAAGATCTTGAGCTCGTGGCAGCCCGGGATGAACATGCCCGCGTGCGTGCACGGGTGCTTGTCGGACGGGAAGAAGGGCGAGAACGGGTCCACGCGCTTGCGGTACTGGGGCACGCCGAACTCGAGGTCGCGGAGGTCCGACGACTGCGCCGCCACCGGGCGCTTCCATGCGCCGAGCGCGTAGCCAGCGCTGACGGCGACGCAGCCTGCTGCCGAGGCGAACCGATCGAGACGCCACATCTTCGTGCAAATGGATTACCCAAACTGAAGCCGCCAGTATGGGATCCAGAATCGTATCCTAACGGGGATTGGCCAAAATGATTCTATCATGAGCCAATCACGAGCCAAGGCATCCTCACCACAGAACCAGCGTCGCATCCCACTCTTCGTCGACGAATACAATGTCGGAATTCAATGACGTATACAAAACGTGGGACAAAGAAGGGGAAAATGAAAATAATTTGGAAGAGGATTGGAATAAAATCATGCTCGAAACCAAAAACGCCCCCCGATTGGCAGCTACGACGCGGCATGCATGCCGAATTGAAGTGAACCGACACGCCGAAAATAATAGGCGGCAGCGTTCGCCCTTGCTGGTGGACGTCTACCTACACATACGAGGAAACCTTGGCCTCCGATGAAGCGACGAAGCGGAGAGCCAATGCACCCAATCGGGCCGGGTGGTTTTGAGCCACGTCTTGTTCGAACGTGCACAAGATGAGTAAATAGATACTGCTACTCCACTGGCCCTTGCGCCTCTTCAACCATACAAGCTTCCTCCACCCCCAAAGAAGAGCCACCACCGAATGCACCTGGCACCTGATGCGAAGAAGGAACGTCATCGCGCTGGGTTCGTGCGTGCATTGACGACGACCGGGCGCCATTGAGTGTCGATTGTCGATTCGAATGAATGCCTGTCTCATGCCACGTCCTAATTTTGCGCATGTGGCACATGCCGATCCTACTCGGTGATGGGCAAAGTCCGATTTGAAAAACTCAAAAAATGGCGGCAAGTCGCACGGACGAGCTCGTTGCACTTGCGATCACGACCAACGCCCGCGGGTACCGCCACCTCGTGTCGCTCTACAAGGCCCAGTACCACGTGGACGAGCTCCAAGCAGAGGACAAGGCGTGCGTCACGGCCGCCGTACGCGCGCTCCGCGTGCAGGACGCAGCGGCCGACCGGGCGCCCGCGCCAGCAGGCGTCGCCGTCTTGACCGCGTATACGACCGACTATAGCATTGGCGCCGCTTGCGCCGCCATCAACAAGCAGTACGCCGATCGCCACGGGTACGAGTTTTACTGCGACGAGCTGCCGTACGACGAGATGATGAGCGCGATTGCGCCGCGCCGCTTTTGCGGCTGGTACAAGGTCGCCATGCTCCGGCGCCTCTTGGCCAATCTGGACGACTTGGACGCGCGAGGCATCGGCTATCTCTTCTGGATCGACGCCGATGCCGTTGTCATCGATCAAGACAAGCCTGCGTCTGCACTCATTGCCGCGGCGGGCCATCGCGGTACACAGCTTCTATCCGTCGCGTCTTATTTTTTGAATAAACATGGTAGAGCTCATTCTTGCCGAGGACATGAACCCGTGCTGCCTCGTCAACACAGGCGTGCTCCTCGTCCGCGTCTGCGAGTGGAGCCAGCGCGTCTGGGACGACGTCTGGGCCATGCGGCGGTACTTTGACGTCTTCTTTTACGAGCAGTCGGCGCTCCTCCGGGTTTTAAAACAGCGCGACGAAGGCCTTCTCGACGTCCAGCCCTTCCACAGCTTTGTCAAGCGCGGCCCTAGTGGCCTCAAACTCTTCCCGCACGTGGCCGTGACGCCGCATTTGGCCCTCAACTCGAACCGATGTCGCGGGCTCACGGTTCACGTCAGCGATCCGGCTCGACGCATCGACACAAACCACTCTGCGGACGAAGACCCACACGCAATGGCCGAGTATATTTTCCACTGCGCCGGTACGAGTCGCTTCTTGCTTGAGGTTCGATATCTTGCATAGGTCGTTGTGACAAGGCGCGGACGCTGGAGGCCGTACTCGCCGCGCACGGGCTGGACACGTCGTCGCTCGGGCTCTCGCAGCTCAAGCTCGTGCGCTCCAAAGCCACAAGCGCCGTCCCAAAGGAATAGATCAACACGTCAAACACACGAAAAAGAACGTGCCAAAAAAGAGGATATCCTGTCTTATGTCCGACCTGCTTACTTCTTCAAGCTCTGGCCGAGGAGTTCTTCCAAAAGCGTGTTGAGGTCACCGAGCATGACGCGGCCGTCGTCGACAAGGCCCGCCGACATGCAGCTGTTCATGTGCACTTGCTTGGCGACCTTGACCGCGAGGTCGTCGTTGGTCGCGCGCAGTTCGTTGAGCTTGAGCATGATCGGGTGGCGCGGGTTGATCTGAAGCACGTGCTTGGAGGCCGGCATCGCCATGCCGCCGCCCTGCTGCTGGTTGACCATCGCCATCATCTTGCGGATCGAGGCCGACTCGTGGTCCGTCACGACGGCCGGCGAGTCGGCGAGGCGGTTCGTCATCACGACGTTCGACACCTTGTCGTCCAAATGCAATTTGAGCCACGCAGTGAAGAGGTCGGCGGCCTCGCCCGAAAGCTTGGCGCCCTCGGTTTCGTCCTAGCAATTAGACCCGGTCGATTCTTTGATCCATCATGTCGGCGTACATCCTGGAGGTCGAGCTTGGCGTTCTCGGCCGAGACGATCTTGCGGCCGTTGAATTCTTCGACGTTGTTCATGACAAAGTCATCGACCGGGTGGTACGCAAAGATGACCTCCTTCTTCGTCTTCCTGCACAAAGCATTGGTGAGCGCCACGTCGAAACCAAGTCGAAAAATTCTGAAAAATTCCGAAATATTCCGAAACAATTTCGGATCCATTTCGACTCTTTTTTGATAGAAAAGACGTACTTGAAGGCTTCGTAGTACGGCGACTGAAGCGCCATTTCGCGCGACGGGGCGCAAATGTAGTAGATTTCCGATTGGTCGGGCGACGCGCGCGAGACGTACTCGTCCAGGGACGTGGTGGCCTCCGGGTCGAGCGCCGACGACTCGTAGCGCAGCAGCTTGGCCAACGCGGCCTACACCATATGTATCCCACTTGAGCTTTCTCATCGGCGCACCTTGTTCTGGAAGTCCATGCACACGCCTTCCTTGATAAACATGCCAAACTCCTTGAAGAACGCGTCGTACGTGTCCGGGTCCTTGCGCGCGCGTTCGTCCAAGAACTTGAGGATGCGGCGCGTGAGCACGTCCTTCATCTTGAGGAGGAGGCGCGAGTCCTGCATCTTCTCACGCGACAAGCTCAGCGGGAGGTCTTCGCTGTCGACAACGCCACGCACAAAACGCATCCAGTCGGGCAGAATGTCGGGCGATTGGCGCTCAATGAGCACCTTGCGCGAGTAGAGAGAGACGCCGGGTTCGAGGCGCGCGTACCCGTGCTTCTCCGTGTGCGACGACCCAATGAAGAAGAGCGTCTTGAGCTCGATGGGCGCGTCGGCCTTGAAGTGCAGGCGGTACATGGGCTCGTCGAAGGCGTTCGCGATAAACTTGTAAAACTCGGCGTACTGGTCGTCCGAGATCTCGTCGACCGGCTTGGTCCACAGCGCTTGGACGACGTTGACTTCGGTCGTGTTGAGGAGGATCGGGAACGCGACAAAGTTCGAGTACTTCTTGATGATCGACTCGACCTTCTCCGGCGTCGCATACTCCTTGCACGACTCCTTCATGTGCATGACGATCTTGGAGCCGCGGGCCGCGTCGTCACTCTCGGACACCTCGAACGAGCCAGAGCTATCCAGTTGCGTTCATACAGAAGGCGGGAACAGAGAGCAAGCATACCCGTCCGACGACCAGACGTGGCCCTTGGCGCCGTCGAGCGCGGACCGGGAGTGGACCTCGACCTTGTCGGCGACCATAAAGGCCGAGTAAAAGCCGACGCCAAACTTGCCAATGATGCCCGTGACGGCCGCCGTCGACTCGGACGGCGACTAGACGCGCATGCGATGAGATCGCTGGTCCACAACGAGAGAATGGACTACTATCACCTCGGTCTTGAGCTGCTCCATAAAGGCCTTGGAGCCCGACCGCGCGATCGTGCCGAGGTTCATGACGAGCTCTTCCTTGGTCATGCCAATGCCCGTATCTTCGATCGTGAGCGTGTGGTTGACCGTATCGGTCGTGATGAGAATCTTGGGCTCGAGCTCCGGGTTCAGGATCGACGACCCAACCGCCTGATACGGCCATGAGGAGAATGCCACAGCGACTTGGATGTCGTACCTGGTGATGGCGAAACTTCTCGAGCGCGTCCGAAGCGTTCGAGATGAGCTCACGCACAAAGACCTCCTTGTCCGTGTAGATCGAGTGTGTCACAATGTCGAGGAGCTGGCGCGTCTCGGCCTGGAACTCGTGCTTGGTCGCGGCTTCGCTGGCGTAGCTGCGCATGAGCGTGGGCAGCGCCAGCATGGCCTGGCGGCGCAGGCCCGGGATCGAAGCGCGGGCAGCAGGCTTGAGGACGGCGCGGGCGGCCACGGCCTGGCGCACGGCGCGGATTGAGTGGCGCAGCATCATTCGGTCAAAAGCGGATTGCCATCGGCCATGTTCCTGTCGTGCGCCTGTCCTAATTAGGACTTTCACACCAGCTGTTGGAAACCAGGATTTCGCCGCAACGTGCAGCGAGCTCCCCCATGGGTACTCGCAGCGGGGCGCGACCGCGAATGGCTTCTTCGGCAGCTTCTTCGCACCTGCCGCACGCGTGCGAGATGCAAAAGCGCACTGCGCGCTAGTTCCGTGCCGCCGCCCATGGCCAATCAGGCCACCCCCCCGGTCACCCCCGTGTTGAAGTTTCAGCCCCCAGCTGCAGAGCCACCACTAGATACGCTTGGTCCGGGTCGTAATCCTGTGGTAACAGCCTCTTGCAGCCGTGATTTGGAAGGCGCCATTCATGGGATCGCGGCCGAGTAGCTCAACGAGTAGCATCGTGCCGAGCTGGACACGAGATCCGGTCGTCGTTAGGATCGCGCAAGTATCAACCAAGCTCGCGTCTCGACCCGACGCAATCACCCGCCGTGCTTGCACCTGATGACCTCGCCCGGTCGTCTCTCATGATATTGCTCCACTGTACTCGGCGCAACACCAAATCGGTGCCTGCAATCTGAAATTAGGATCGGTCCTGGGGCGCCATTTTTCTCGAAAACTCGCATGTGCATACGGATACGGTATTCGTATCCGGTGCCAAGCGTATCTTCTAGGGGTGCGCACCGTCCAACGGGCGTATCATCATGTCCATGCTGCCCCTTCTACTCGAAGGCGATGGCCGGCAGTGTCTCTGCACGCCGAGATCTTCCGGTCACGCGCTAGCACGTTGTGGCAGTCACGTGTGGCGTGGAGGCTGCGTGGTGCGGTTGTATCGCCAGTCGCCGCTGCCCACAGCGTTGGTCACCTTGCGAGCTTCTTGGTTGACAGTGCGAGACGCGGCGCCGTCCACTGTGACGGCAAGCGACTTGGATCAGCACATCGCGACGAGATGCCATCTCAGGTGCTCGTGATTGGCTCGTTTTGGGTTCTTCCAACCACCTTTCCTATTCAGTTTGCATTTTGCAGCATCCCCAAATTGGCACGATGGAAGTATCCGCGTACTACTGCCTCTATAAGACGAGCAAGTGCCGCAACCCGCGTGGGCTCAAGCGAGATGGGACGCTCCACCGAATGTGCAACGACCACCGTGCCAAGGCCAACGAGAGCCAGCGAAAGAGCGAAGCCAAGAAGCGGTTCCGCAAGCACGTCGGTCTCAAGCGCCCAGACTCGTGGTCGCTGCCTTTGGCCCATGTCGACAATCTGCCAATGACGCAGTGGCACCGTCCCGTTCTAGAAGACGACGCGTCGACAGACGAAGTGAGGTGGCCCGCGCCTCCCAAGATGGCGCTGGCGTTCATTCTCGACGCGGACGACGTCGGCATGTGCCGTCACGCGTAGTATGATGCTTAGCTTAACCAAACATGTGGTCGACGTGTCTACACGGTATCGTGGTGGTGCGTGGCCGGGTCGTTGTCCTTGGGCTCGACGTGGCGGCCACAGCAGCAATAGCAACAGCAGGCGAGGAGGTTGAGGAGGATCATGAGCACCCACGGCGCCAGCACGAGGCCGACCTACACAGCAATAGTTTTGCAATGGAATGCATTCCGCAAAGGGGCAAAAATACCATAATGAGCCACGGGAGGAGCACGTAAAACGACGAGAAATCGCCCGATTGAAGGCGGTAGGCGAGGATGAAGAACGGCGACATGGCCGCAAAGACACCGACAAAGACACAGAAGAGACCAAAGAGGCTCGGCGCCGGCTCGTCTTCGTGGCCGGTTCCTTCCTCGAGGTGCGCCATGCGGTGCTTTCGGCGCAAGTACGTTTGAATCTAATCCAAAGACACACAATATCAGACCTTATTCAAGCCAGAAAACGACGAGATAAGTCGACGTAGTACATGAGGCACGACGAGCGTAATGATGTAGATCCACACGGGAAGAAACACAATCCACCAGCTGCAATTGATGGTATCTTCAATCTTCAAGGCCACGAGGAGCGCAAACGCGAGCCGCAAGACACTCATGGTCCACGAGTTGAGAATGTCCAGCATCTACACGTTGTCGCATGAGCCATGGCAAGCGAATTCGATTCCGTGTACGAGGCTCATCTTGGACGTGCCAAAGGTCGAGTCAGTGGCATGGGCGCGAGCAAACGCAGAGTACGCCAAGAGGCCCGTGATGACCTTCTCCAAGAGGTAAAAGCCTTCGAGGACGTAGTACGGTGCGAGGACGAGGTGCATGGACCAGTCAATCGAGTGCTGGAGTTTCATAGCGACAAAGATCTGGCAGGCGACGAAGAGCAGCGCCTTGGTGAGCAGCAACCTACAAGCAAGTGATGCTAGGCTTGGGCACGTGACGACGACAACGTCGTACGTTTTGCCGAGCAGACGGAGCGGCTTGGATTGACGGTCTTCGGGCTCTTGGTGGATGTCGGCGTCGTCACCCAGGAACGAGCACCCGATACAGCAGAGGTAGATGCCATCGAGAATCCACATCGGGACGAACACCGTGAGCCACGACCAGCCCACGTCATTGTCGATCTTGAGGCAGAAGAACACTAATCGTACACTTCACGATCGAGTCCAAAATGGCAAGGGCACGTACGCGGGATTGTCGAGAAGAAGCCAAGGAAGAGCGCGACGAACGAGAAAATGAGGCACTTGCCGAGCGGCCCTGAGGCGCTCAAGGAGCCGAGCATCGCCATGAGGAGCTCGTCCGGGCCCAAGTCGCCGTACTGGCTCACAAGCTTGACGCCGTCTTCGCCCATCATGTCGTAGATTTCGCGCTGCTTGGGGTCGCTCAGGATGTCGTAGGCCGCCTTCATGGCCATGAACTCTTCCTGCGCCTCGGGCGTGTTGCCGCGCTTGTCCGGGTGCAGCTGCAGCGCCTTGCGCCGGTAGGCCTTCTTGAGGTCCTCGGCCGAGACGTCCGTGGCGACGCCCATCGCATCGTACAGCTTCGTGTGCTTGGTCTGCCCCATGCTCGCCCTCCTTGGTCGTCCGTGGTTGCTGGCTCAATCCGGCTTACAACTGCCATCGCCGCGAAGCGTATTTTTATTCGATTGCACCGGCGAGCTTACAAATACCAAGTCTATTGAATCTTTTAGATTTCGCGATACATGATTCGCTGAAAAGCCGCCTTTTCCAGCGCATTTGATCCAATCCAATGACGATATTCATGGGGAAGGTCCAACTCAGCTGCGTCACACGTGGCTGACGACCACGAAAGCGCACCCTTCTCGTAGAGGGTGGGACATGGCATTGGCACCTCTGGAGGACCGAGCACGAGAGCGCACGCAGCTTGAAAACGTTCGAGCGACACCAAGTATATGGCCGCCAATCAGCATCAAGGCTGCTTGTGTGATTTCAGCCAATCCCAGCGCGAGTAGCCACCAGATTTCCATCCTGTGAAAGGGCTGCAGAGCTTGTCGCTGTGGTCCTGGCCTGTATTAAATGGTCATGTTCGACCGATTCTAATACACTTCGTCAATGAGCTTAACAGCTTGCACGTCATCGACGAGATCGGCTTGGTGCTTGCTTCAACGGTAACCTCTGAGACGTCTGGCTCTGGAAGCGGAGATCAATGCCCGTTGCGCCAGTGACTATGTTGGAGTACATGTGTGCGAGGAGCTCTTCCATGGCGTCGCGCTGTCAGTGTTTCAATGTTCGGCGCAATCCAAGCTCCCTGTTGATGCAAACGAACTCCTCACCAGGGTTGCGTCGAGGCAGACGCCGTCGGATCGGCCTGGGTATTGCTACCCAAATACTATAGCTTTGAGGCAAGCGAGGGGTCACACCAAAGGCATCGACAAGCAATGGCACCGGGTTCGGAAAGCTTGCCACTCGCCACGAGGATATTTTTGAAAGCGTAGCAGCCCAATCAGCAACAAGAACTTGGAATGTTGGCCAATTAAAACACAGCGTGCGGCAAGTAGCCGCTTGGATTCTTTTGCACCCGATCGTTTTGGATCCGAGCAAGGTGGCACTTCAAGCGCTCCGATAGCACAACCTTGGGGTCGGTTCCTTCTTGATAGCTTCTTCTTTCACGACCAACTCTACGAAGGGACCGAGCCATGACGCTAAATTTACAGCAACGTCGAGCGTCCATTGGTGCAAATGTTGCGTATCAAAATGTAGCCAATCCACAATCGCGCTGTATTTTCGGACGCCCCATTTTGGCCAATCGCATCTCGGACAGCCGAGATCTTTCAGTTGGAGAATGTCCGAGGGCTTTGTCGAGTACTACGAGACGTTCAAGGACGCGCGGGCCGACGTCGTGGGCCTCCTCAAGCGCATCGCCGTCGCCAACGGCGACAAGAAGGCCGAGCTCCTCCGCGAGGCCAACGCCAAGCTCCAGGAGCTCGAGCGCTACTGCCGCATCCTCGAGCAGGAGGCCAAGGGCGGCGATGCGCAGGAGAAGCGCAAGATGCAGGCGCAGCTGCGCGTGTGCCATGGAGACATTGACAAGCTCAAGAGCAGCCTCGAGAAGGAGGCGCTCTTAGGCCGGCCGGCGGCACCGGCGCCACGCACCGCGCAGGAGCAAGCGGCGGCATACCAAGCGGGCATGGACCGCACGACCAACCATCTGCAAGACGCGAAGCGCACGGTCGCCGAGATCGACGAGGTCGCGGTCAGCGTCGACGCCAATTTGGCGATTCAGCGCGAGCATCTGGAGCGGGCGCAGGGCAATGTGGACGAGACGCGTGCGGACGTGCAGGACGCCAAGAGCCATCTGCGAAGCCTGGCGCGGAAAGCATTTTCGAATTTGATCCTGCTCTCGATCATCATCCTCGGTCTGGTCGCGGGCATCGTGTACGCTCTTGTCTACAAGTTTTATTTGCGCTACCGAAACTAAGAAAACAGAATCAAGGCGCGGCCGATCGATGATCTCGTCAGCTTTTGAGCTGCTCATGGAGGTCGTCAGCGACGGAGCATTGTTTCAATTCCCTCCCAGTCCATGCGTCCATGGGTGGGCGTGCTATGGAGAGGAAAGGTGGTAGCCGACGTCCAGCCGACGCGAGTAGCGTTGGGAGGAGCAGACTAGCTTGTCTACACAATTTTTATTGGGTTCCGAAGCTTTCTCACGTCCCACAACACGCTCAGTCCACCACTAACCGCTCGCTTGGTTAGAGCCTGGACCACAAACCAAATGAATCCTCGCAGCTCAGGAATATCTCTCGTCGCATCTTGCACTACCCACACTCGAATAGTACGAACACGTAGTTAAACACATGGTGCCAACACCATCAGTCGAGTTAAAATGGAGCTAAACGGGAGCGTTAAAATACGAAGCAAGCCAGCACCCGTGCAGCCAACCCTCTTACATCTTACTCGGTGCAATACATATGTTCCTCTCCGGCACACTCTAGAGATTCCCACAGCGCACGCAAAACCACAGTTTCTTTGTCTTTATAGAGGATTCACGCAAGACTTCTGGTGGACCTCGGTTCTTACGACCACAAACGGGGCGGTGCTACAAAAGACTCGGTAGTCGACGCACCACTTGCATCCTTCGACGGCGCAGAGATCAGCGGAGTAGAGTCAAGACTACTCTTGCGATACGAGCGGAGCTCCTTCTCGCCGTGTGCATAGCTAATACAAGTAGCTCGCCGAGCAATCTTTAGAGAAACCGGGCGCGTACGTGCATTTGGCGCCATACGTGCAGCTGCCCCGCGCGTGGTTGGCACACAGCTTTGTCTTGATCTTGTTCCACTCCATGCTGTCGTGACGGTACCTACGTCACGTGTCAGAGTGGTCGATGACATCTCGCGGGCGCACTCGCAGTCGTCTCCGCGGGTGCACGCGCCGCGGCGGTAAAACGTGCACGCTGGCTTGTACACGGGCGATGATGGCGCTCGCCAATTCATCGACGACACACAGCGCTCGTTGGCAAGCGTTCGAACGGACGGCGGAGGACCAGGGTTGTAGCGCCACGCAGACTTGACGGGGGAGCCATAGCCGTCCGCGTCCGAGCCAGAGCTACAATCGCGCCATATAAACCGAGTTGACGGCACTGAGCACGCACCTGTCTGTCGTGCTCATGTCGGCGCAGATTTTTGCTTTCGTCGCGGTTGCCGCGTCTGCGACAAACGGTCGCAGCTCCGCAATCGAGTGTGCGTAGCTAATGCGCACATGTCATGGAGTCGCAAACGGTGTCGACTACGTACACGCAACTCGCACCAAACGAGCACGACCCCTTCTTCATGTGGTAGCATATCTTGGTCTTCAAGTAGCCGTGTTTGGGCTTTGCTGCCGGTCGGTACGGAGGTGGTGCCTCGAGTTGAGACGGCCCCCGCAACGCCCGAGCAATGCGCTGGTACTTGGCCACATTCTCGGTTGTCGTCGGGGCTTGGGCCAGAAGAGTGGCAAGGTCTTCCATGGCTTGACCTCGCGATACCACCAGGTCGAGCGACGGGTGCGTCGACATGAGGAGGGCAACGAGCACCCAATGCAGGCACCACTGCTGTCGGTCGTGATCGTCGTCGCTGCGGCGAAGTGTTGGCAACGGTGCTAGAAGGCCGAGCAGCACGAGCAAGCGATCCGACACGGACATATCAGTTCTGAAGCTCTGTTGTGGCCTTCGCTATGGACCGAGTCCAACCCATCACGCGTCCGCGACGAGCTGGACGCGAGTATATGATGTCGCTAGACGTGCCGATTTTTTTACTCTGGATTGTGATTGGTGGTTCGAAAAAGCAACGACCAATCAAGAGGTCGATTACTCGATCGCGCTTGTCTCGAGCCATCGATGGCATGCTGCCGCTTCGCATGTCGATACGACATGTCTTCTTCGACTTTTAGTACCCTGGCATGCCCACCTAGTTCGTATACCAGTATGTACTAGAGTAGGCATTCCGAGTCCATGGCCTAAACAACGCGTTCCATGGCGAGCAGGCACGTTTCTCATCGCTGCGCACGCCGCCTGTCAATTCTCGCAACGCGATGCCATTGGCGCATTTCTTGTATCGCTTTTGATTTTAGCCAATCACCTTGCGTCCATCGCACACACTCTGTCCCAGCGCGCAGTGACACACGGGTGCAGACAGAAATTGGCGATGACCGAGTCCTTCCGCGAGTACTACGAAGCGTTCAAGGACCTCCGCTCCGAGGCAGCGGCCGTCATCCGCCTCATTCCCGACGCGCCGGCAGACCGCCGCACGGCCCTTGAGCGCGACGCGCGCGACCGCATCGAAGAAGTCGAGCGCTACGTGCGCATCCTTGGCCAAGAGGCGCTTGGCGGCGACGCCCACATGAAGCGCAAGATGCAGACGCAGCTGCATAGCTGCAAGTCGGACCTCGAGAA